GGCCGAGGGCGTCCTCGGGCCCGCGGTATAGTCTTTCTTCTTCTTCCTCTTCTTCGCGGCCTCTCCCGAATCTACTGAAGTTCGCTTAGCCGGCGCGGCCTCGGATTCCATGGCGTCATCAAACTCCTCCGAGGCTAAGAACTTTGCGCGCGCCATGGTCTCTTGGTACGTGGGGGGAGGATTCTTGCGGAGCTCCTTCCTCACCTCTCCGCGGGGGAGGGCTGCTTGGAACATGGCAACCAACGCTTGGTCATCCGCCCCATGCACGTCTCTGGCTTCCTTCTCCCACCGGACTATGAAGTCGCGGACCTTCTCTCCCTTGCGGATGCATATGTTGAGCAGGTGGGAGTAAGGGAGCCTCTGCCTTCGGTTTGCCGCGAAATGCGTCAAGAACTTCTTCGCCAGCGTATCCCAATCGTCAATGGTTCCCTTTGGGAGCCGGTTGAACCAATCGCACGCGGACCCCTCTAGCGTCGCGAGGAAGCACCTGCAATTGACCTCGTCCGGGGCTGCCGCCGCCTCCATTGAAGCGTAGAACTTTGACAAATGATCCTGGGGATCCGTCGTCCCGCTGTAAGCCTTGATCTGCCACGGACGGAAGTTTGTCGGCAGCGGGACTGACATCACCCTCGGTGTAAACGGGGTTACCGTGCGCAAGATGGGCTGGCTGTAGGGGGACTTTGTCTCTACTCGGCGTTTGAGCTCGGCAATCTCGCGCGCAAGCTCAGTCAATCCCCGTTCAGGGACCTTAGTCCTCTCGGTTCTGGATGGGCTCTGGCGACGCTGAGTTTGCTCGTCCCTTCGGCCTTCGGTTCGCTCAGGTCTCGCCGAGCGCGCATCTGAGGTCGCGGATTCCTCACCGTTCCTTCGCCTACCCTTAGAGATCTGCCGGCGAAGATCACCTAGACGGCCTTCCGGTCCGCGGTTGAGTCGGTCGAATGCCGACACTCGGGTATCCTCGCCTCCCAAACGTTTGAAGGCCGAGACTCTACACTCACTGGACTCATCGTCCTCCCCTTGGACGTCCTCCACCAACACCTCCTCGATCAGCGGGCCCTTGCCGGGCCTCCTCCTGCTCCTCCGCGTCTTCTTTCCCTTGTGCTGGGAAGTGGCAGCGTGCTCGGTGTGGTGACCGAGCGGAGCCTTGCCAACCCCGGCGCCGGGTACGTTCCCGCCCATGGCGGAAAGTGCCGCAACGGCCGCCTGGAGTTGCTCCGTGGTCACCCCCAACCCGAACAGCGCCTGGACTGCGTCCGGAGT